AAAGTATTTTTTACTTATACTGTAGGTATGAACTTATTTTAAGTGAGAAAATGTATTAATCATTTTTACTGAATTTGATGTTTTTTAAATCTATTCTTGATGGGTTAATTATCAATTTTCAAAATTACGTCATTTTTGTTCTCTTTATTATCCTTTAATTTTTATTTTTAAGCCTCAATTTTATCAAAAAAAAAAAATATATAATTCTACATATTTTCATCGATATTTATTATTAATTTATAACGTATAAAAGCAATAATAATAATAAAAAAGAGCATTCATTTGAGGATTAAATATGTACAGTATATACAACAAAGTTATATATTAATATGTTCTGCGTCATTAAGATAATTATCGCAAATATTGTTGTTTTTTGATTCACTAAAATATTAATGCCATTATATGCGCCATGGTTGAATAAATAAGTAGATAGCTTAAACGCACTTTTAAGTTTTACTATATTGATTGAAAATATGAAATTGTGAAATACTAATATAAGAATTTCTAGTTGCATCGAGTTATAGTTATGATAGTTCAATGAATGTAAGAGTTATAGGTATAAATTAAATAACCCAGTAATTTAGAAAAAATATGCATGTAACACAGGGTTGAGCTTATTATATTAATAAAATTAATTTAAAATTTAAAAATTATTTTTATTTACACTCAACAATAATAATTATCAATATTAAATTATGTTTCTGAGTATTAGTATGCAAATGTTATTATTTTTTTGCTAATAAATAGAAATTTGCAATCAGTAATTATATAATCATAAAAAATCGTAAAATATTCATATAAACTTTATTATTTTACTATAATTGCGCAGGTTAAGTAACAAACACACCATGTCCTACCTAACCAAAATTATCGAGATAAAAATAGTATCTAGTTATAATCTCTCCTAATATAAAATATGTATTAAATTTAAAAAACCTCGGACTTGGGTAGGTTAAATTTGAATGCAATGATAGGTATCACTGTATACGAAAAACGGTTCTGAACGGTTAGGTTAGTCTAGGATATATTATATTTAAATATTGTCATACTTTCTATTTTGAAACAAATATTTTATTTTTCAATTAGGACGCATTTGCAAAAGTCATGGTTAATCAATTAATTATTAATTTTTATGAATTATACCTGCAAAATTGTTTGCAAATATTCATGGTTTTGACGAATTTTTGTCAATATTTGAACTTCAAATGCTAATAAAAAAAAAATTGTGCCTGTGTATTCTTAAAATTTTTTGATCAATATAAGAATAACTTATGTAGAACTTTGTATTAAATGTTCAAGTATTTTGATTGTGCCAAAAAATTTTTATCGACATTTCAAAAAAAAAAATTTAAAATTTCAGTTGTTTATAAATAGCTAAAAAAAATGTCAAAAAATTAAATCATGTAAAGAAAATGCCAATCTAGACGACTGGTAAAATTTTCAAGTATCTACGACTTATACTTTTTGAATATTAACAAATATTTAAAATCGTTTGAGGATAAATCGTTATCGTTACGGTATTTCGTAAAAATTTAAAATTCAAACGCACTTAAAATTTTTTCTGTATGATGCTTCGAGTTTTTATTATAGCTACTTAAAGGAAAACTTAGGGAAAACATAGTGTAGTATTTTTAATCTTTAGTTATAAACACAAACAATTTTATGATTTTTCAATTTCAAAATTACTTACAAATTTTCGCGTTTTCGATAGATTTCGTAAATATTTGAACTAAAAACGTTTATAAAAAAAATTGCGACTAACGATTTTTAATTTTTTTTAGCTACAATAAAAACAACTTATAAGAAACCTTGTATTAAATTTTCAAAATTTTTTGGTTATCCAACATTTTTTTATCGACACTTAAAAAAAAATTCTCATAAAAATCGATAATTTCAGTGGTCTATAAGTAACTTAAAAAAAGGCAAAATTTTTTGAAAATTAAACTGTATATAGATTAAACTAACATAAACATTTGGTGAAAACAATGATAAGTTTTTGAATTAAAACCATATAAAAAAATCGATTTGGTCGAAAACTGGTTTTGCGTAAAAATTCCCGTTTTTCCGTCATTTTTTTTTGTTTTTTTCAATTTTTTTGAAAACTGTTGGAAAATGTTGAATGTTGAATGTTTACCTTTATAATGAACCAAGGATATTCATTTAGCCATCGGAAACCACTCCCAAAGTTTGAAATTGAAGCATTATTTCGATTATTTCGACTACTTATGCTGTACACAGACACACAAAAAAAAAAAAAAAAACACACATCATTGTAAAATCAATACATTCATCACTCCGTTCAGAATTTAAAACAAATTATGTGTAATGACGGAAAACATAAATCACGATACACTTGATTGCTTATCTAAAATACTACATTTCCCAAATAATTGAATTATTTAAAGGGTTGTTCTGCAACAAAAATAATTCCCGTAGACCCATACCCTTTCACTATAAAATAATAATTCTTTCTTAATCAAATGTAAAATTATGTCGTTTTTGTTGTTGGAATTACAACAATGTTCCATATTTCAAGTATATTATATTATTGTATGTGGTGTTATTTTTATTAAAAATTTCGATTTTCCTCATTTTTTATAATTTTATCGTTTGTTTTATTTTTATAGTTTTTAAATTCGTTACATTTCATTGGGTAGCACATTTTTTTTTTTTTTTACATCGTCTTTTACGATCGCATGATTTTTCTTAGTTTTTTTTTTTTTTTTGTTTTGAATGTATAAAGTAATCGGTCATTTGGCGGCTCGGACATTATTTATAGTCTGATAGTAAATAAGCTATTTTTCTCGTACAACCACTACCAAGGCAATACAACTTGTCCACTGGTACCGATACGATGATAACACATACTGTTTAAATATAATATAATCTGCGTGTAACTTTTTGTCGCATTACTTGAATAAGTTTTTAGGATAACTTATTTTATTATACAATATAACCATGCATTAATAATAACCTAATTATGTACATGGTTTATTTGGACCATATTCTAATACGCACCAGTGTTTGCAAAATATTTGTTGAATTATGATGGTTGTTTTTTGTTCTATACACAAATAGATAAGAAAAAATGAAATAGGTAAGACATGGTAGAACAGTTTCACGGACATTTTCTTCTATTGACTGTTTTTAATTTTACATTTACGATCAGAATTTGTTTAATACAGTAATTAAAGAGCCTGGCAGTCCTTTTTTTCCATAGATTTTAATATTTAGGAACATGAATAAAATATGATTTATATATATACATACAAAAATATGTATATTTTGAATATAATATTTGGTTAGTCTTGATTATTAATTAGTATATGTTTTAAACAATTATTTACATTTAGTTCTTTTCCTTCAATCCAACATAGATTAATTGATAACAATCAGCATATTTCATAAAAAAAAAAAAAAACAATAAGAAAATAAAAAATAAAATAAAAACATTCCTTGTTATTTGTAGTAATATAAATTATAACTATTTGTTTAAAAAAAAAAAAATCAACAAAATTACACAAAGCAATATACTGGGATTCTTTTTTTTTTTATGATTACTACCATTGTATTTCTTCAGCAGTTTATTGTTTTCTCGTACACTTATATTTTTATTTATATATATTGTCATCTTAATGTTGCCCGAAGGCCGATTAAGAGATAAAATTTTATCATCTAATTCTTTTTTTAAATACATAACAATATAATATAATGTCTGTGTTTCCGCCCATTACAGAAAATCTCGTTACTAAAGTAGAAAATGCATTATAGCAAGATTTAACCATATCGAAGTTATTTTCTGTAAATTATTTGGAATTCAATATTAGATACTAAATAAAGATTATCCAATTAGCTAGTCTAGTGACACGGAAGTTTTTAGTATAAATATAGTACTAGGTTATTATATTTAGATTACATGTACACAAATATGTAGACAAAATATAGCGTTAAAAATACAAAAAAACAAATAAAATAAATTATCTCATATAACTTGTTACACATAAGAATACATATTTTGTATTTAAAGTTTTAGTATCCTAAAACAATTTTTATGTTGTTTACTTTATTATAGAACATATTATATTATTATGTATATTGTATAATACTATCGAGAAGTATATTAATTATATTTAAAACACAATATCTTATAATGCATATATAGACGGTCAATATAGTGCTAGAAGACAATTTTGAAACAATAGTGTATAGAGATCATAATTTTAGATTTATTTCTCCCTACTGCAAGACTTAATAAAATTTATATTATTGTTAATCAACAGATTGTTTTGAGATATCTGCTTAAGAGATACCCTTTTAAGGTTTATACATGAAATTTTAAATAGATTTATACTTGATGTTATTAATATAAATACACTATTACAACTCTAGTTATTAAAATAATTTTGAATTTTAAAAACAGATAAATGACTTGCCACTATATAAATTATAGATTTTATAACAATTTTCTGAAGTTAACAAGTATTTGAAACTTACTTGTTTTTAGTAACAGACGAAAGATTAACTAATTTTTAATACTAAATAGTGTTTATTTAGATATTGTAGAATATATTCTAAAATCTGAAAAAATTAAAAAATAAAACATTAATTTTAATTATAACAATTGAGATTGAAAAAGAAAGGAAAATGTGCAAAGTTATAATTTATTTTCAAAAGTTATTGACTTGGGACTTTAAAATATGTACCTATACTTGCATTATATACGTGATTATTGCTAGTGATTACGACAATCAAATCATTAATAAAACTTAATAAATATAATTATATAATTATCTATAATATGTTTAATCTTAAAAGTTATAATGTTACAAGTCTATGTTAATCCATATTGTAAAATATTAGAATTCAGATAATTTAAAATAAATAATAATTCACTATTAATTTTATCAGAGTTATATTTTAAACAGTTTGAAATTTTATTGGTGAATAAATAAAAATTGTTTATCATGTCTTAATAGTTATCGTTATTTATATTTTTTTAGCTCTTGATCCAGCACAGCCTAATTTCAAAGACAGTCAGAAAAAAGAAAGAGTTGACGTTGATAGCGGTCAGTTCGTAATTGTGTTGCATACGTCGACCATATTCTTAGGATTGAGAGAGCCGATAGGCCATGTCGATTTTTACTTCAACGATGGCCAGATGCAGCCGTCGTGTAACTCCGATACAGGTAAAGAATAAAATGCATAGAATTTGATTTCAATCTAAAATTACTATATACGAAGTAATGCCGAGTGTGATTATAGTTATTCATAGTAAATTTTTAACAAAAAAAAAGTAAGTTACGCTCCTAATATTTTAATACCGATTTTAAGGATAAAATCGCGTCATAGCTGCTTTTATATTACTACGAAACAAATAAATACTTTAATACTAAATAAATACTTCACAGTTTTCTTGGAATTTATTTATAACGACTACTCTAAATTATTATCGATGTCTTTTATCCCCTTATCACTAAGTAAAACTAATTTGATGGTTTCAAACTCTTTGATACACTTAACTCATCAGAACTTTTAAGATATTTAAGCTTGTTATTTCTTCACACATAAAAAATGTATTCTGTGTGTGGAAATGTGAATTTTAAAAGTTTATTATAAATTTGAATGCGGGTGTATTACCTTATCGTTATTTTATAATTTAATAACTGCTATCTTTAAAACATTAGTATGCTTCAAAATATATAGGCACTCGACTAAGTTTTCCGAAACTTCATTATAATTCAATATGCAATGAAAATATTTAGTGAATATAAAATATTAACGTTTTAATAAGTCATATAATATTGTGCACAAAAGCTATTGTTTTAAAATTACGATTGAGAATTGAACACAAGACTTATATTTGTATTAAATTATAATAAACTTTGTACTTTATTTTATTTATTATTTTTTCGCTTCATTCAAATTAAATAAATCATAAATAATTGGAAGGTTTATCATTCAAAGTTATCATATTTTAAATAAATTATTGTAATTATACCTAATGTCATCATATTATTATTAAAGCTACTTATTATTATTTTATTGTTCTTGAAAACATTTAAAAAACAATATTATGTCGTATTATTTATATTTTACAAATAAATAAGGTTTTCGATTTTTAGATACAATCAGAAATATAATATTAAGTTTTTTAAAATTTATTTTAATCGAAATTGGAAATTTTTCAAATGAGATTCTTGAATAATTTATTTATTATTCAGTCGATTAGTTAGATTTGGTCATATTCCATTATAATAGTATAGACAAAAAAAAAACTGCTATGTTCTGTTTTTGTAATCTAATCGTTGCAGTATCTAGTGAATACCTCGAAGATTAGGCTATTTTCAAATAATGCATTAGTTCACCAATTACTATATTTCTGATCTCGTGATCTTCCGAAATTGATGATGGACCAACCTAGAAGTTAACAGTAATTGATGGGAGTTCAAAATATCGATTACGATAAACAATTTGGTTCTGATAGCAGTTTTTATTCAAAAATAAGATAGGTACTATGTAATTGTTTATTTGTTTGATATTTATTATTTTTACTTATAGTTGAAGACAATATTAATGCAATAGTTATTTAAAAAATATTAAACTCAAGACTTTTTAACTTAACTAGTTATATTTAACCGTATTTTTTAATAAATAATTTAATAAAAATGTATAATTGCATAAAAAACAATAAGTAGGTATGAAAAAAGAAAAAAAACAATATGGGTTCATTTAAAAAAAAAAGTTTAGTTATAATTAAAATTAAAAGTTGGGCGATTGTGCTATAAGACCTGTAGCTTGGTGATAGTTAAAAAAAAGTATTAATTTATTAACTACTAATTAGTTTATAAATGGGTTAAGTTAATATTTTTTTCCACATTAATTTTAGGCTTTCAGAGTTGAATATTTATATCGTTTGTTAGTTATTAACTTATAACTTAACGTAATTAACGTTATTATATAGCTAACTTGAGTTATTTTTTTTTTCATTTACATTCCTATCTTTTGGTTATTAATATATAATAAAATATGCTCATGAGTAACATGTTATACAAGTTATAATTTGTACATTTAACGAAAGTACATACATTAAACTGTTATATTATTTTCACCGAATGGTATTTTTAAGATAATATAATTAAATATTTTCAAAAATGTAAAAATGAATAAAAATATGTTTACGTATTTAAAATATTAATAAATTATAATAACTATTAACTATTCAGTACAGTCATCAATTTATATTATACTGTAGTCTATAGTATGGTAAATTCGATTGTTGTACTTTAATCTAGCTATACATGATATATAATATAATATATTAGAAGTCAGTAGTTGTATTCACGTTTTAAATAAAATATTTTCATATAATTCAAAAAACAAAACTTCTATAAAGTACATTTTTTCATGTGTTTCGCTTCTTTTTTTTTTTAATATATCATTATTATATAATGTACAACATGGAATAATATTATTACTATTGATAAAAATTATAACCAGAAGAAAGTATCAAACAAAAAGTTTTACTTTAATGTTTCCACGTATTTTGATTCTTTTAGTTAGCATTAACTGTTTGGAGTGCAGAATGTTTAAATTTTAGGTTCAAAGTATCCTAAAAGCTTATAAATATCAACGCTCCATTTGTATACCTTTAAACAGAAAACTATATATACAATGTACGTATATTGTTTAAGACTTTAAAGTTTATTTTCAAGTATTAAAAATCATTAAGAATTAATTGTTTTTTTATCTTAAATATTTCATCAATATTTTTTAAAATTTTTTTGTATCTCAATGCTACTCTATGTTACTCGATCAAAGACGGCGCCGGAAAACTATCATTTAATACTTATTAATTTTCTAATGAAACGAAAGGTTTTATTTTCAAAAATAACTTAAATTATATAATTTATGATATAAATTTATTTTGTTAATGGCTTAGATGATATAAAGCCGTGCTCGAGCACTCATAGCCCTCCTTTCTGAATTCGTACACGTATTATAATAGATATTTTACAAAAATTGTTTTGAATGTATTGGATGTTATTTTCAATTAGTCATATTTTAATAAACGCACATTTTACATTAACCTCAAAGAAAGTGTTTTCCCTTTTCCAGTGTGCATTATTATTATTAAATTTTGAATCAGATTTATCGAAACAAATTGTATAGTAAGAGTGCTCGTATATTGAAAAGTATTTTAAATCTGTTGTTTTAGATTTTTAAATGTGTTATTAAGTTATTTAAAGGCATGAGAAATTTCTGATTTTTATTGTAATCAATAAAATGTTTTTTGTAAGGTCAAGATGCTATAACTATTTATTACAAGGTGGTTTATCAGTTGTTAAATTTAAAACTAAAAAACTTCTAGAAAAAAATTAAATTTTGTATGAACATACAAATATTAAATTTAAACATGGGCAAAAAAATGATACTTGAACAAAAAACCTGAAAATTTTAATTATTTTTTTTAACTAAAAACATTATTCGTAGAAACTTAATACTTTTACATATAGTTGACTTATCAACTGTATAGCAAAGCGGTACTCACTTGCTTATCTTTTTTTTCAAATATTATTTTCCAAACGTTCAAAATAAAATAACATTTTATAATTCTAATTTAACCTAAATAAAGATAGTACCTAATAATTCTAAAAATCAAAAATGAATAACAAATGTTCGTTACATCTCAAAAATAAAAAGTGTAAATAAATGAATGATAAAATAATTAAAAAAATGTAAATGCTCTGTTTGCGTAAGTTATCGTTAAACCTATATCGTTTTCGCGTTCACTGAGCAAACCGATTGGCTCGTGAAATGACATGCGGGATAACGACGGCGCTAATCTTATCCCTCTCCAGTTGGATGCAATATCGGCACAATCCACTGATTTGTGCGCGTTCTGACGCGAAGCATCACATGTCTTGTCTCGTGTTTTTTGTCACTCACCGCGATTGACGTGCGTCGTATTTTTCCGTTCGTAATACGGACGGTGGTGTGCTAACTTCGTGGTCGTCGCGACATTTTTTTTATTCTGTTTTTGGTTTTTTTACCATTACTCTGACAGTCTTACACGCGTGTTGTTTGCGGCGATTATTCTTTGTGCCACCGCTCTTACAGCGAATAACTCGTATAATATTAGATGACACTAACAGCGAAACACTGTCGTCGCCGCCGTCAAACAATATTTAATAAAAATAGTGAATATATGGGTCAACCGCTGTTGTCGCCAGTTTAATCTGGTTATCATCTTTAAATTCACGGAAGTTATCAATCGTCGATTAGGTACTTTATCGTACATCTGTTAAGTGTTATTGACATGATTCTATTCATACTTGTATACTCACACTTTGCGTAGTATCTCTTTGTTTTAAAATTATTTATTTGTATTGTCGTTTTGAAGAGACGTCTTTAACAGTACTATGTATTGGTGTTCAGATTGTTATTTATATACTTAAGTATTGTCATTAGTATACGATATAAGTATATCCAAAATATTGTCATTATTATCACTATTTTGTTCAATCTTACTGATAACACGAATACCTGGTGTAAACCATTATCACTTACAAAGGAGCATGACGTACCATAATAGATCATTGGGTCCAGTTTTAAATTAATATTTGAACGCTGTAATGGAGACATTCAAAAATATGATTTTATAATGGAGTGCTCTTAATCGAGCACAATCAAAAAAACGAAATAATAATAATAATAATAATAATAAAATAACTGGAATAACTACTGATATGCATCAATACGCAAAACGTAATATTTTGTTTACCACGCTCAAGATCGAAAATATATTATTTGGATTACAACCCTAAACTAACGGAATGTGCAACTCATAGTTTACGAATTTACACATAAGGCTGTGGTAGTGCAGACAGTAAGCTGAAAAGCGCACGAGATTCACACCATTACGTTACCCGCGACTGATCCGATCTGACCCGACTAAAACGTGTAAACATCTCTTAAGAATGTGACTAATCAAAGACGCATCGAACCCCTAACTGAATGTGAATGCCAGAGACAGCTCAGCCCGTCCCACGCCAAACTCTTCAGCGAACTCGGTCAGCCCATCGGCCACGCGGTCGAACAGATAAGCTACTTTGCCAGTTTTCAAGTTGCTAGGTGTCAGTGGGTATACCGATCACCGTGACTCGGGTCCAGGTTCAGAAACCAGCGGACTGAGGTGGTGGAAATCGTATCCACGTGTTCCAACACCTCGTAGGATTTTACATGCGGCGCGCCACGTTCTGCAGTTCGTCATCGGACACTTTGTACTTCCGGACAACTCATTCAAAGTTCAGCCAGAACCAAGACGTTTAGGGATAGTTGTTCGTAAGTGTCTTGACTGAGCACGCGTCCGGCTGCCGTGAGATAATTGGTTCTAATGACGATGGTGATAAATTTTCGTAACATTTTTTATGATAATAATAATAGTTTATACCTTTTTGCAACAACAAAAATTAACACGATTTGATAAAAAATTGTATAAAATACAAAAATTGCAACTCATCCTATAAGCAAAAGCTTGAATGTGGATAAGTTGAGTTCACATTAAATTATAGAAAAATATGTAAACAAATTTACGATAAACTTAGTGTAGGTATTTAAAATTAGGTATGGAAAATTATTAAATCTTACAAGTATTAATTTAATTCTCGATAATTATTAAAAAATATAAATTTAATGAAATTAAAATATGAATTATATCACCGTCGTAGTTTGTTCGGTTGTTTGTTTGTTACCAGTATAATATTATACACATGGTTACTGTTGCCGCCACGGCAACATTAAAATAGCTATATGCAACGGAGGAACAGCTGGTCTCATATACACGCATAACTTATTTTTTTTATATTTGTTTATTTTATTTTCGTATTAATTGTGCCTTATGTGAATTACAATAATTAAATAATATGTAGATAAACAGCGCGTTATCGTATTCTGCCGCGTCGGTTGTGTGAATATTAATTAACACAGCCGTCGTGATTTCGTCTTTTGCCGTACGTCGTCGCGCAAAGACCAAAACGTCCGCATTTGTATATGTATTAGCGCAATTCGCTGTTTTTTTTTATAATATATTCTTGTGTGTGTTAATCGGAATATTGATTTATAGTTATTTATTGCGTTTTATTAATACGTTTAAATCCCTAGTACGTAGCACGCTTACAGAGTGAAATTTACTAATTTGTTTTTTAGAATTATTAGATATGACCAAGTTAAATTAACTCAAATAGCACACGATGTTAATATAAAGGTAATCATGAAAACGTTTTCGAAATCGTTTGGTTTTATCTATTTATTTCAATGCGTTTTAAAATGCACTATTTATATTCACTTATTAAATGTAAAATGATAATAAAATTATATTTGAGAATATGGTAAACAATAAATCATTTAGCGTGTTTAGAGTATAAGAGAGTTGAGTGGACTAGTAAATTTGTCATATCGATAAACATTAGTTTAAATATCACAATATGTTCCTCTGACATCTGTTCGTTGTATTTTTATTTTTCGTTTTTTTTGCACGTGTGTTTATTTGTTCATATTTTATTAAATCTTTAAGCTGTGTGTATCGATTACTTTATATTTTTTACGGTTGAATCGTCAATAGCACCGAGTTCTGTTAAAAGGTAGTCCAATCTTCATCAACTCCCACCTATACTCCTACTCATCTAATTTATCAGTCAAAAACTTAAAAAATATTTAAAACACCAAACCACAGAAAAACTCTCATGAAAAATTTACCTTGACACAATGAATTTATTAAAAAAAAATTTCAAAAATTTTTAATTTTATTACATTTATATATTTTAATAAAAGCCACTGTTTAGTGTTAAAAATATTTTGATGTCATATTTATATATATTTATAGATTGTTAAAAATTATTTGAATTCTTATCAATTTATTATTTTTAATACAAGATTAAAATTTTAATACATAAACATAAAAAAATGTTGAGAAATTTTGTAATACTAATTTAACAGTTAAAATAAGGTTTACCAAACATTAGGTTAGATGTTCTGTTTACCTAAATATTACGAAACTGGTAACTGCTTAAATCCCTAGTAACTATTGTATACTCACTATAGTAATAGTATTAACTATCTTGGTTAAATATTTTTACCTGTTCTCAACCAAGACCCACCCATCCACCCACCCACCCATAATTTCAGGTGGCTCAAATGTACCATCTTAAGTGCATATTCAGCGCAACTGTGAATCGTGAATTATTTATGAACAATATTCTGTGTCTACTTATATATCTTGTATAATTTATGCGTCCAAACAGTAGGGAACATTGTTTATCATAGATATATGACTTTTCATCGACATTAATATTTTAATCATAAACTATAATAACATTAGTAAATATTTAAATGTGCTTTAGTCAGCGTGCTATACTTTCATAGAATTATATAAACATTTTTTAACTATAGTGTAAAAATATAACATAATATAATATTAGTACCTATAAATGTGTGTGTGTGTGTGTGTGTGTGTCTTTGAGTGTTGTATGATGAACGAGGATCTTTGGAAGCAATAAAATAGATACGTGACAAAGATTTGAAGCGTGGTTTCTTATTCGTGAACCATGGTAATTATTATATAGATGGTGACTGTGATGACAAGTTACACAGCTGTTGATTTTAAACCCGAGTATACGTGCCGATTTTAATATCATTAAAACTTATAGCAGAATGCCTCAAATGTCCGGATAAAATTTTCACGCAACTGTTTGTTTATATATATATATATAACATATAATATTATATAACTAAATTCTCAGCTTATCTAGACTTAAAAAACGGATTCAAAGCTGTGTGAAAGGTTGTTAAAGTGTATTCATCACTTAAATATAAATAATAGATACACATTGATTGTATATTTTTATATTTTTGTTAAAAAATGATAATACAATATTTGGGGTATTATTGTTTATTGAATACAAAATATTAATACAGACACTAATAAATAACCACAATCATTAAACAGTATTCCAATACAAATAATAATTGTGTAATCAAAAGAAACCATGAAACTATATTGGTGGTATCAATAAATTATATTAAGTTTTTTAGCTAGTAAGTCAGTAGTTCACACATAAGTATCAATAAAATATAAAATTAATAAATTGTTATAGTTAAAAAAAAAAAATAAATATATATATTAATACATTTTAATTTAATATTATCGCGATTATATAATTTTTTTATATTACCTAGTGTATTTAAATATAAATAAATATTCATAATACATAATATGCAAACGTATTTTGTGTTAGTATACTTATTATAATATCTACTCAATAATTATTCATATATTATAAAATCATTTATTATTTATTACAACTGTATAATATATATATATATCGCATTTTCAATGAAAATAAGTTCAAACTCAATATTTTTGTAAATGTTTAAAATTAAAATGATATTGGAAACGCTTTCTATATTACTGTATACGCGTACTTACAATATTTTTTATACATATTGTTAGTATAGGTGGTTTATCAACTTGAAACCATACACAGTAACATGGTCATTGGTGAAATTTTATTGGACATACATTTTTGTAGAAGTTTCTCTGTGATTTATTGCTACTTCAAACAATTCCATTGATTTCATTTAGTCAATATTCCGAGAAAAATATTATATTATAATATATCTACCACATTATAAATCATTATCGATGACTGAAATATAGATATAAGAACAGAACATTGGGGTGCATCGCATTCGTATTGTCAGATAAGAACCGCGCGTACAATAATTAATCGTGATGGATACATGTCCGTGAAGATAAATATGTGCGTGTTTTTACTGAGTAGAGAAAAAAGTATTGAACGTAAAAACAAATAAATCAAATAAATCAATAACTGCTGGCCTCACACGCCATCTGTTCTTTTATAAAAATCTATGTTATGTAGGTTCCTAACGTATTTAACAAATTGTGTTGTAGATATTGTATAGTCCTGGTTTATAAATGTAAAATGAATGCGAAAAATTATATAATTAATTTGTAATTATACTTATTCATAGCTTAAATATTTAATTATATTCACTAAGATTTTAAAAAAAAATAATAATAAAAATTACTTTGCTTACTATCCAAATCCACCTAATATTGTAACATTGTGTTAAATAGATGTTGTTATTTAATGTGAAATTTAATTTTATATTCACACGTTTTAATTTAATAATTATGATATAGATCAGTTCGTTATGTGTGTAGATAAATAACACTCAACTACGGTGTTATAAATCGTCATTAATCTATATATATATTATATTTTAATCAAAATAATACATTTTTCAGTTTGTGGTCATTTAATAGTCCTAAACTATTTGGCTGATTCATTGAAAAATCCAAGTGAATTTAAAGCATACCGGTGTCATACATTAAGCGATTGCGAGAAAAAGATCGTCGATAATAAAGAACCAGCTATTAATATGAACATAAACATACCAAATTCGTAAGTAAAAATATAAATTTTTAACACAAAAATTGTTTTGTAATATATGTGTATAACTTTAAAATTTGAAATACGTCTTAGTATTAATTGAAAAATTAATAAGCAGTTGTTAATAATATAATATATTACTTATTTTTAATTTTGAATAATATTATTATTGTATAATATTTCAAAAATATAAAATTTATAAAACTATCTTGATATTATTCAGTGTCATTTAACTGATAAAATTCATCAATGACTTAAGTTTTATTTTTTTATATATCCATAGTTTTTCAAAAGTGAAGATATTATTAGCGTAATATTGTTCACAATAAAAACAACATGGATAAAATTGTATTAGAATTATTACAATAATCAGTGTATTCTTACCTAATAAAAATAATTATCATGATCAGTGTATCAAACTATACAAAATGCCTAAATAAAATAAAAATGCATAAAGTACACGATCGATAAAATATTATTTATCACATGGATATATACAAAAATAGAAACTTTTTTGGTTTAAATATAATTTTAATTTTAGTAATCAAAATCTTCATGATAAATCAATAATATTGATAAGTGCACGTATATAAAATACTTGTATATAAATATATTTCTATGCTTAGATGTTATTATTTGAAAAATAGTTTTATTCATAATATTACTGACTTTTTACAACGTTTTTTAAAAATTTTATTCTGTTCCTTACGTATGTCATATTAATTGAAAACTTTAGTAAATTTATGGGTCTGAACAAAATAAAATATCATAATAAAACATAATGTATTTTTTTTTTATGCAAAGATTGAAACATTTTAAATTTATATTTTCTTAAACTTAAATTATAGTTTTAAAATTAAATGAAAGAATTATCAAAGAAAGAAGAAATAATAATACTAAAGTGATTTACTTTTAAAATCTAAACATTTCAGGATTTGTAATTGAAAAGTCAGCAAATTGGTGACACTGTTATAAATTCGTTATAAATATGAAAAAAAGTTATACTACATAAAGTTTTATAATGTAGGATAAAAATAATATATATATATATATATATGACTTAAATAATAATTTATTCTATCTTCTACATAATACAAACTTATTTTCGATAATTTTGTTCATACTGTATTTATACCGCAAAAAAACATTATATTGTAAAATATAATTAATAAATTATACTGCTACACATTAGATATTAAATAGTTTTTATTTACGAAATTATTTACATGACTCACTAATTAGGTAACATAATATCTATAATAATAAATTATCTTGATAAAGTTGTGGGTTTCCAGATCATCGTGAAAAGTTCTTTGTATATTTTAATACACATCCTTTATTTGTTATTATCATTATACACATTAAGATACGATAAAAATAAAAAAGATGAAGTTTACTAAAGAATATTGGTTAAATCATTGGAGGTATGTTCATTAGATTTAGTTGGAATAAGTATAGCTTATTATATAAATTTATTGTTAAGGTTTTTAAGTTATAATCAATTACACAACAGTTTTAATTGATATACATTACATATTTTAACAAGTAGCTCAAATTTCTTCGCCGGTGAAACACTTTATTGGTAGTTTTTGTATCGTTATGAGGAAAGGGTATACAACCACCGTGCGTTGTCTCTTCCTAAGTGATTTATTGCTTCTACATTTTTTGTTAACTATACATTTTCATTTATAACAGTCTGATTTTGATTCTTTTAACTTATTTTATTTATATACTAACGGTTTTTTATTATACCATTATTTTCTTATCTCATAAACTGAATTATACATATTTATGCTTTGTCTTGTTAAAATTTGTTCTGATATCGTAGTCTAAATTTTGTAATATAATCATAAAGAATTGTTTTTTCTCTAAAAGTGATAACGGTTATATACAAATACATATATATATATTGTTCTCCTATAGTATAGAAATGTAAAAACTACTTTAATATACCTACACTACTAAATTCTGACCATGTTGATAAACATTATTTGTGTAATATAATTTTACTGTGTAAGAGTTTTCAAGTTTTCAACGATGTTAAAATTTAGGTAGATACATTCAATATAATAAATAATGAAAATCTCGTTATCCCTTTATCATAAATATTTTTCTAACACCTTATGATGCAAAATATGATGAAAATATAAACATAATATTAAAATTAATAAAACTTTTTATAACTTCTGGGATAGCAACAGAGAGCTTGAATATAATCGCCTCATATATCCTATTCAAATATTTTCTGTTTCATGAACAATAATATAATAATCGAATTTATTGTTGTGGATAAATATTTATGATCAGATACCATAAATGTAATACCTAAAAACAAACATATTTTTTTAAATAAATATAAATAATAAAACATTCTATGTAAGTGTTTGTAATGGTAATAAAAATATATTTTTGAATTTTTAGAACCAGAGGATTGTATTCTATATTGCCAAGCAAAAATAATTTAAAAATATATTCGCGTTTGTAAGTAAATCAAAACATTTATTGTAATACTATATTTAATGTTTTATATTATTATTTCAGGCATTGATCATATAAGAAAATATGTTTTTAAGAAGGTAATGAGTAATGAATAATAGTTTATTACGTGTTTTAAATTGTATTTATTATATTTATTATTATTATTATTGATGATAAGTTAAATGGTCAAATTTAAAAACTAGAGCTTAAAATAATTAATATTTTAGATAATTACATTTTTAATTTTTAAAATTTGTGGTAATAACATACAATATTGAATTTTTTACCACGTTATTTATACCATTAGTATTCGTTGTGTAACACTCTTTGTTCTCACTAATTCATTTTTTATTTTAACTTTTTTTTTAAATTTATTTTTATTTTAAGCTTATGTATTTTTATTGAGATATTAAGGTTAGGTAACCAAGGTTTTAATAGAAATAAGATTGAAATAGTTATTCAAATAGATTTGTAATAAGTGGCGAAATGAATTTCAAAAATTTCTTACACAGATCCTTAAATATTACAGAAGTCAGATCATGAGATTTTAATACTATAGAAGGGCTAAAAAAATGCTGATAATTTGGTCAACTTATTGGTGAAGTTGTTATCAGATATTCCTATATAACCAAATATTCAAAAAAAATGTAAAAGCCTATATCTCTGTTAGAGAACATTAAAGAAATTTAATCTTGTTGATAAGACTGGAGGGTTGCGTTTTTAAGAAACAAGTAGAGAAAGCTTGAAAACAGAAAAGTGAATCAGTGGCTATGAAAAATTGATTTGATGAAGAAGATATATATTTTTTTTAAGAAATTCGATTTTGTGAAGCATTTTGTAGTATACGTATAAACATACAGTAGATAGCTGATTATTAAAATAATGAACGTGAAAGTCTGGAACATAAAAAAAAAAAAAAACCAGCTGATAAAGATAAACAAAAACATTGGTATGAATTAAAATCAAAAATGTGGATTAGTTATAAATAAAATCAAAAAATATGTTATTAAACATTAAATTATTTGCAGATTAATAAATTTACGTGTATCACTAAAAATGTCTTTATATAAGTGTATTGTGTAGTATGGAAGAAAGAAGTAGAAATCGGAAGATAGCTTAATATAGTCGTAGATTTTATTTCTAATAAGTAATAACGTATTAACGTTATTCGGGTAGCCGTGAGGAGATGTGGTGCAGTAGTTAGCTCAAAAACTGGAAGAATTTATACAAAACGTTTAAAATTAATAATTAACAATACATTAACTCGCTCTCGCACGCACATACGACATATGAGTCACACAAACAATGCGAATTCGATGTCAGAATAACTTACCTCGTCCAACTCACACTATCGAGAATCTATATTTAATTGAATGAGCTGAAGCGTATCACGGCGGCTGCATATAAATAATATAATATTATTTTATCGTAGCAAAATAGTTTATATTTAAACCCAGTGACCGGCTAGATAATAGACCATTTGCGCGTTGCGTTGTTTTAAAATAAAGGTCGAAATACATAGGATAAAAATAAAAACTAAAATCCAACAAACGCCGAACGTATAAATAAATAAATAAATAAAGCCCACGTTTGCAGTTTGTGAACCAGCGGTCGGATTGACCTTTTATCTACGCGCTACAGCGCCAACGGAGCGCGGTTCAACGCATTTCCGATACATTACGTCCAGGAAAAAAAATATTTCAACTAGTAATGTTGTGTAAACGACAAAACTGTGGTATAATAACACGATAGTTTTATGAATTCGTTTTTGTGTTGCGTCGTTAAGTGTTATAAAATCGATAAATCTCCAATGACGAGGTACGCGATGACAAAGCGAATATATAATTATTAATATATTACGTACAAATTTAACAACACTGAGCGTTTTCATATTTTCGGAATATTAAAAAAATTATAAAACAAGAGTTCGTTTAGTGCAAAAAAAAAAATCATAAAGAAATTTGTTATGAATTGTCTATTTTTCTATTTTTCAAACTTAATGTTCATAATTTAAATTTATGAATTTAAAAATATTAATTAAATTTTATAGATTTAAATTATTTAATTTTCTATTTATAAATACGCATCAAAAGATATGCTATTATTAGCGTTTTCTAAATCTAAGGTGTTATAATTTAAGTTAATAGATTAGTATAGGTGTATTCGTATAATAGCTGTATAAAATAATTGGTACAGGTATGGTAAATAATGATGGCTTGATTTAAATAGGTTGTATAATTTCGACAAATGTAAAAAACTTGTGAGTAGAGTCACAGTTTCTAGAATAGGTGTAAATAATTTATAGAAATTGTAAAAGGTATTTAACTCAGTTCTGAATCCTTAGTATTTGTGACATTCTATGAAAATTTACCTGGGTATATCTGGTGTTACAGAGAGATTGATCTTGTCTAATTATCAAGTGATTATGTGTTAGATTTATGAGCCCAACTATAAGTCCATTGATTATTATCCGTAGTCTTCGTTGGAGTGATTTGTTGTATTTTCAAGGAAAGAGGATTGATTTTATTTTTCTAAGTTGATTTTTATCAAGTAGACTTCATTGTATCTAGTAAAATCGATGTAAGTTTAGGTTTAAAAAAAAAAAAAAAAAAAAAAAAAGTGTTTTATGTTTGGATATATAGTAATATTCTATTATCAGGGGTCACCAAATAATTTCAATAGGGGTCCGTTTTGAGATTTACCAAATTGTCTTTGGTCCAAACAGTTTTAATGATTTTTACACACGTTAATAAATATATTTAATAAATATATTTTATAAATGTGTATTAATATTAATTATTTTATTCAAATTGAATTCTCATAAAAAAAAAAAAAGATTATATTAAAAATATTTAATACTTATTTAATGTGAAAAATTACATTTTTTAATTTTCAGGAGCTTCTTAATATTTGGTGTAACTGATTTGCATTAACTCGTTAAGATGTTTATCTGTTAATCGAGATCTGAAATTGTTTTAGAAAACAGTTTGGAAACCAGTCTTTTTAGTTCTGGATATTTACTTGAACAAACGTATTTTATTTAGAATTTATCGTACTGTTAAGTGTTGAGGACTTAAATACATTTTTCCTTTTAACTCAAGTCTTCCTGGAATCTGATATCTTTTTTTCGTTTTAATCAATTTATTCAATATTTATGTACATATAGAATTGTTTTTGTAGGATTGTCTAAGTATTTGAGCACGCTGAATGGGTTCGTGAATATGGTTATTGATTATGCATTGTTTTTGTACAAATACAGTTGATTCTGTGGCTTTTAATAGTGCTAAATATTCTGTTGTATAAATCGAGTTGTACATTGGAATTTTATGAGACATTAGGCTGGTTTATTGCAATTGCAGTTTCTTCTGTATATTTTGTAGCATCTACATATTATATTTCCCAGTTTAAATGGAAAGTAGTTTTTTTTTAAGTTATAGGCATTTATTTTATATACTCGTATTCGTATACGTTTCATCTTTTGTAGTATAATAGGTCGAAATAGATAAATTAGTTAAGAATATCTCATGGGGGTTGTTTAGATCTTGATGGTTGATTAGATTTGTAAAATTAATATTGAGTTCTAAGATATAGGATCTGAGACTGCTTGAGTGCCAAAATTGCCTTATTCTATTTTACTTTGTGTAATTGTGTGTCTTCATCATAAGTAATAAATTATCGTTAATAATATTTAAGTTTGTTGTACTTAATTTAATTTTATATGTATTGGATGGTTTATTTTCTTCTATTACTGACTATAATTTTACTGTAATATTTTTTTCAGACTTTTGGGGCGTTTAAATGTAATATGGCCTTGCTTTTTACATAAAAACATGTAAGTTTTTCATTAATAGTTATAAATATTCTATAATTTGTATCATTGTAGTTAATTAGAAATATGTTTAGCAAAATTAGTTTGGAAGTCTGTCAAGGTTTTCATAGTTAATGAGCTTTTATAACAAAAATTGCAAAATGTGAGACAATTCAATATCTTGTATAGGTATCCGCGTACGTATCACGTAAAATGTGATATTTCTACATAATCTTATGTTGAGCTTATTTAATTAATTTTTTATAGCGACATGTAGTATGTTGGGATAGACGTTTGATAAGATTATAATAATTTTATTTGTATTTTGAAATTAACCGGAATTAATTTCTAATTATTTCTAATTAATAATTGGGCAGTTATCTATAAGGTTGTTAACTAATATTTTATTAGAAAGAACAATGTACAGTCGCTTATTAAATAATATACGGTAGATGAAAATTATATTGACCAGTTTGAAAATGTTGCCAATAGCGATAATGTAATCATTATATAGAAAAGTTTCGTTTATGTCAATTAGTATTGTTTGTCCTTTTTTTCTGGAACAGAGCTTTTTTTTACTGTTGAAGTGAATTATTGTAAACATCTGCGGCTAATGATGATTCGTGTAGTTATTGTGCTAAAGAGGGATATTCTGTGATGTAGCAGCTTGTTGAGTAACATAATAATGTTGATGGTTTGGTTTTTAGAGTAAAGTTGGTAATGTTTGCATTTGGTTAATTTTATTTGATATTTTTTTTAACGATTGTATTTGTGGTGTTTTGTAAATTTTGGTGAATGGATAGACTTCTTGATAGTGGTTTTTTTTAAAGCATGTTTTAATGAGGAAGGTTTGGGTTCGAATTATTTTTGTTTAGTACGTGTACTTATTATATAATACTCACAATTACCAGCACGTTTACTACATCAATTTATTAATAGCTATCAAACTATTAAAATTGTAATTCTCGATAAAAAAAAAAAAAAAAAAACATATTGCTATATGTTATACGAATACAAACTGTTGAACTGTATAATAATTTATTGTATGATTTTATATTTGAGGATTAGTCAATCAAGCTTTAAGCGTCTTATAATAATACTTAATACATAATATTTTATAGAAGTAGAGTCAATGATATCGTAGTGCTTTATTTTCATCTGAGAATTAGAAGAGAGTTTGAAAAATTACTAATAAACTTTTAAAACGCGCACATAAAGGTATGGCATTGGTAGTATTAATTCTTGTTCTGGTTTACCATGTACGGCCAAATTAAGATTTTTCGAACATAGATTTAAAAAATTTAATCGAATATATCTAAATTTTCTATTATTTTTCAATAAATATAGTGATACATCACATACATCATCTTTATTACAAAAAATATTTTAAGTTAGATATACAAACCATTGCAATGGTTTATTATTTTCTTATTTTCTTTATAAATTATTTAAATATGTATTGTATTTTATAATGCAATAAGTTATATGTATATAATAACTAATCATAGTCTCATTTAAGTAAGAATTCATATATTTTTCAAATTTATAGGGAGTTCTAATCATAATAAGCATTTAAGAAGTTATAAAGATCCTTTAAACGTGATCAATGTTATAAGCTTACAATCAAATACATATTATACTAATAATTATTAATATATATAGGTTAGGTATCGTCATTATTATTTTTATTATAATATAACATATTAAAATATTATTATAAAATATTGTTTGTTTATAAGTTTAATTATTATTTTTCAGCTTCTTAAAATAAAGTGTGAAGATTTAAAGATTCTTATTTTATTCGGAAGGAACATTCACGTATTCACGCAAAGTATGTTTATTAGGTTTTTATTTTAGATAACGTATGTACTATTTAAATTTATAGTGTATGCAATGTTTTATTTATTTAGCACTTATATATTTATACTGTACTCTGGATACTATATTATGTAATACAAACAATTTATATTAGAATATTGTATTATGCCCATTATAATATGATCACAGAATACTACGAAAATTATATTTTTCATTTATCTATGTCATGCAGTACCTTGATATGTCTAATTATTATAAATATAATAGTATTAAAAAGTATTTTAAAGTCTTATGTATGAAATTCTTTTGTGTTGCTCTTAAAAAGACTATGTGATGAAAGAATCCTAATATGTACACTTATCTTCGATAATAAATTAATACATTTAAGAAAATATAATGGTAATCAACACACGTTTAAAGGTACCTTACAGGTATTAGTTTTGTAATAGAAGAATTTCGTTTAAATCATAGAATAATTGTGTAAATGTACATTTTAATGGTAAATATTATTATTGGAATTTAAATCTTCAATAATTATTTATACCAGTATACTATACCATATATTTTTTTTTATTAATTAAATAATTGTGGTAATTAACTATCGCATAACAAATAATTTAATACCAAAATATCTTAAAATAAACCTAAAAAATAGAAAATAAAATAATTAAATTGAACGTAATTTTATTTTATT